AGTTCCCCATGGAGAAGGGTGTACGTGAAGGAGAGACGCCTGATTTTAAAGCTGTCCTTCAGCCTGTTCTCCTGAGGAAAAACCACTGTCCTCACAGCTCCTTAGTAGGAGGGACAGCTGAGGACCTCTAGTGGTCATATGAGGAGGTCTGTGATTTTCAAATAACATTTCTCATAGCCTGTTTCACCTTTATGGTAGTAGGTGTCATAATCTGCTTCTCCTTCCGGCTTAGTAATGTTCCATTTTATGTATCTGCTGTGTTTTGGTAGCTACTCACCCATGCATATAAACCTGGATGGCGTCTGCATTTTGGCTGCTGAAAATAATGCTATGAACATAGTTGTACAAAAGAAGTTCCAGTACCCCCATCTCTTGGGTACAATCCCAAAAGTGTCATTGCAAGAATGTATGGTGGTTCTGTATTTGACACCTATAGTAACTGTCATCCCATGTCTCACACTGGATGCACCAATTTAGATTCTTACAGCAGTTCACTGGTATTCCAACTAATCCTTGCCTTACCCAAGGACTTGTCATAGTACATGTTAAAAGTTAATCTCAGTGCTGTTAATTTCCCTTTCTGTACTAATTATTATGCAATCTTTTCACATACCCACTAGCATTTTGTATATCTTCTTTGGTGAAATTTCATTAATATATATCGGTTAGTTTTTATTAGTCATTGCTCATTGTTTATAGTATTGAGTTGTAGCAGTGCTTCATACATTCTAATTATTGATCTCTTACTAAATAAATGATGCATCATTTCTTCCAGTTTTTTAGTTTCCTTTTCACTTTTTCATAGTGTTTTTTGACACAGAGATGTTTTTAATTTTGATGAAGTCAAATAATGTAGTTTGTGTTGTTGTCAGTGCTTTTGATGTCATATACAAGAATTCACTGCCAACTCCAATATCTTAGATCTTTAAAGAGTTGTGGAGCTCACATTTAGTTCTTTGACCCATCTTATGTCATTATTTGTATAGAATGTAGAATAAGGATCCAAATGCAGTTTTTACATAGACATCCAGTTTTCATAACATGATTTTTTTAAAAGACTGCCCCTTCACCAAGTATTAGTCTTAGCATCGTTGTTGCAAATAATTTGTCCTCTTATTAAAGGAGCTCTATCTGTTTTTTTTTCCTGTTTGTTTTGTTGTCTTTATGCCTTTAAATTGGTATCACATGATTTTTTTTCATTAAATTTATTGGCACATGTTAGGTATACATTACGGTCACTTTCCTCATTGGAAATCTGTACCTGCTCATGATATATCTTGGCTCTTGTTTTTCCCCAATTCCCCTTCCCTTCCTTCCATCCCTTCCCTATTTACAAAAACTTTATTTCTGTTTTTTCCTTCTTTTTTCACATTTTTCCTTTCCCTTCTTGCCTTTCCCCCACACCCTCTCCCTATTTCCCCTTCCCCTTTTTAGTAAAGGTTTGAAACAAGTTTTCTAATAAAGAAATGCTAGACCTCCAACTTTGTTTTCTGTTCCAAGATCTGTTTGCTAGTCAGAGTCACTTGAGATTCCATATAAATTTTAGGACACATATTTCCATTTCCGAATGGCATTGTGAATTGTATTGCTTTCTTAACTTCTTTTTCAAATTGTCCATATTTGGCATGTAAAGTTAGAGCTGATTTTTGCGTGAGTTTTAAATTGTGTATTTTATAAATGAATCACATGCACATGATTTTGTGTAAAATAATTTGTATTTATGCATATTATCACATTGTCTATGAACTGAGATAATTTTACTTCTTTCTGTTTTTCCAGTTTAGATGTCATTGCTTCTTCATATTTTATTGCCTTGTCTAGGATTACATAGGAAATGATTGGAAGTAATTGCCTTTTTATATCTTGCTCCTGATCATAGAAGAAGAGTTTTTTTCTCTACTGAGTGTACTTTTAGCAGTTAATAGGCATACCTCTATTTTATTGAGATATTACTTGCCACTTTCTTCCAAGATTAAATAATATTGCCAATGTGTAATCTGCACTAATTATCTTATATATATTTTAACTTTATTCTGATAATGTGATTTATTAGACTTGTTTTCATATTTTGGGCCAACCAACATGATCATGGAATATTTTTTAATACACTGTTAAATTTCATTTACTAAATTAGAGTGATTATTTTAAATGAATATTATGCTATCCTTGTTTATACTTTTCTTAGAGTTTTTTTTCTGTCTTTTGTAGAAATAGCCAGATATGGTAATGCAGGTCTGGTACATGATTTAGGAAATATTTCTTTCTCTATAAGTTTCTGGAAGAGTTGAGCGAGCTGGTATCCTTTCTTCCATAAATGTTGGTAGAATGCTTCAATGAAGGCAAGTATTTCTGGACTTTCTCTGCTGGGAAGTTTTTGTTTACAGATGCCATCTTACTAAGTGGTAATTTCTTTATATTTTATATTTCTTCATGACTTTGCCTTATAAGGGTGTTTCTAAAAATTTTCCATTAATGCAAGCTTATCAGATTTTTTGTAAGCCATTGTTTGTAGTGCTACATATAAAAAAGAAATATGTAATTCATTTTATTTATGAATATTCATATTAACTCGCTTTTAAACTATGATCTATGTTTTTCCTAACTAGCTAAAAATTTTGAATTTTGTTGATCTTTCCAAAAACCAACTCTGATTTTGTTTTTATATTACTCTTCTATTACTACTTGTATGATTTTTCATTTCTTTTATTCTATTAGACTTGTATTTAGTTGGTTCTTGTTTTTATTGTTCCTTAAAATAAGAAGTTAGATTCTTCTTTCATATCTCTCATCTATATTTATGTATTCATTACAGCTAATTGTTTCCTCTCATCATTAATTTTTGTACTGAAAAAATTTTGATATTTTGTGTTTGCATTTTCATTTGCCTTATGCATGACTTTTTGGTATCTTTCTTTGATTTTTGTTAAGTGAGAGTTTGTGTAAAATGGGCTATTTTTTAAATATGTGTTGTTTTAGGGGCTGGGGATTTGGCTCAGTGGTTCTGCCACCTGCCTCTAAAAATGCTACCTGTGAATTTTTCAGTTTCTACTGGTGATTATTAAGAATACACAATTTGAAGGCTGGGGATTTAGCTTAGTTGTTCTGTTACCTGCCTTGCAAGCACAAGGTCCCAAGTGCAATCTCCAGTACCAAAAAAGAATACACAGTTTGAGATAGTTGAAGTTCACTATTTTTTGTTTTCACTCATAGTTTTCTAAAAATGCTACCTGTGAATTTTTCAGTTTCTACTGGTGATTATTAAGAATACACAATTTGAAGGCTGGGGATTTAGCTTAGTTGTTCTGTTACCTGCCTTGCAAGCACAAGGTCCCAAGTGCAATCTCCAGTACCAAAAAAGAATACACAGTTTGAGATAGTTGAAGTTCACTATTTTTTGTTTTCACTCATAGTTTTCTAAATTTGAGTGTCACCAGACAGTCTGGTTTGGCCAACACAGAGAGCCTCTACCAGGAAAGAATATACAGCTGAGTTCTGGCAGTGCACAGGACTACCTTGGTTGGTTGGATCCAGAGCACATTCCTGCATAAGGCTATTTCTTCTTGGGACATTTTGTAAGGTCTGGGATGGTAAAAATAGCAGAATACTATTGTTGCTGCTTGCTGTCTTACAATAGCAAATTGATCATTCTTTTTATATGTTTGAGATGTAGGTCTTGGATTCCTCCTACATGCACCGCTGATCTTCCCAGCTCCATCTTTGCCTTCTGCTCTTCATCTTGATTACATGGTCTTCATGGATGACTGGTTTCTCTCAAGTAACCAACACCCAGTATGTGTTGCCAACAGAATTAACTTTCACAATTTTCTCATATGCCTATTGAGTTTACTAGGATGTGTGATATGATGAATAGGGAATGTGAACACTTGTATCAGTAAAGACCTAGAGTCCTAGTGCAAGGGATTTAGCTTGGTGGCACCACACCTTCCTCTGAAGTGCAAGGTCCTGAGTTCTATCCCTGGTACCAAAAAGAAAGAAAAGAGAGAGAGAGAGAGAGAGATTTAGAGTCCTTCTTGGTGCGCTACAATTCCATGAAGCCTGCCACAGGAACACTATAAATATTTCAGTCCTCAAGAAGCATATGAACTTCCATATTTTTTCTCAAAAACTGCATGACTTTTCATCTTTGTTCCTATCTAAACACCCACACTACCAGCATGTACACCCCAAGGAAGATGAGCCACAGATTGGTTTTCATGCCAACACCAACCTCAACCAAATGTCCTACTGGTTTTCCTTTACTGCTGCTAATGCAAAACTTAATATCCCCTCCCCCATGAAAATTGGCTTTTACAATTTTATAGTCACTCAACTTCTGTTTTACATGACATTTATTTTATGATATAATTCTTCGATACTTAGATTTTTAATTTCTAAGTTGCATCTATGGAATTCTTCACACATCCACTTTATTACATTTTTAAGGAAGTCACTCAAAGTTTTGACTGTAATCCTCTCCTGAGCAAAGTAAGGCAAAATGTGTTGCTGGGCCTTACATAGCACGGGAACAGTTTCTCAGACTAAGGGGAAGTGTGGAGTGGGGCAGGGAGTGAAAGGCTCTTTATAACAGGGAGCTAATCCTGCCCTATGTGCACAGCAAGTATCTGAGAAAAACAAAATCCAAAAAGATGCATTGGTATTTATGTTGTCACAAATCAGCCGTAAGATATGGCTATAGTTCTGGATAAATTTAAGTGGGAACAAACTAAGGCAGAAAGCATTAGGATGAGCTTCTTTTTAGCTTTGTCTCTGTCATGCTTGGTAGATCAGATGGCAAGTGAACCCTTTATTTTCGCTGTAGCTTAGGCCATGTCGCCGCTGATGGGAGCTTGACATATGGAGCCCCAGCTGCAGCTGAGACACACATGGTTCAGTGCCCTCGCCAACACCTACTCCCCTGGGTCTGCCAGCGTCTTCCTCTCACAGCCTCTGAGACTCTGCTGTATTGTTCCGCAGAGAGACAACACAAGAAGCCTTCCTAATCAAGTCAACTCAGGCAGAAAGGTTTGTGTTCGGGGCTGTAGCACTGTGGGAGGGAAATGTGTAAGCTGTTGGCAGTAATAAACTCCAGCATCCTCAGCCTCCGTCCTGCTAATCTGCAGTGTGAAATCTGTCCCTGACCCACTTCCACTGAACCTGTCTGGGGTCCCAGAATCCAATCTGGAGACTACGTACATCAGGCGTTTTGGAGGCTGCCCTGGTTTCTGCAGAAACCAACTCAAGTAGGTGTACCCATCGGTTTGGAGGAGGCTCTTACTAGACCTGCAAGAGATGGAGACCGGCTCTCCAGGCGTGGTAGACAGGGAGGCTGGAGTTTGGACCAACACAGCATGGGCCACGAACCCTGGAATAATGACAGAGAAACATAATATTATGTCTACATTTTGTAAGTAATTTTTATTCTTTCCTTTTGCTAAATATATATTTAGGTTTTATAAATGTATGTGACTTTGAGTTATGCTCCAAAGTATTCAAATTTAAAAAGAACCCAAGATTTGTCTGCCAGGAGGGGAAACCTAGGATTCACCTACACCAGCCTCCTTTTTCTCCATAACAATATTCTCAAAAGCACAGATCGTTGCTCCTTCCGGACTCTTCCTCACAGATCTAAACCCTGTATTTCACCTCCTGGAGGACAAGACCTGCACACTTCACTGGTGGGTAGGACACACGTGGGAAGCACTCAGACCCAGAACTCACCTTCTCACTGTGTATCCCTCCTCATTTCCCACTGTCCTTACCAGGAACGCAGAGCATCAGCAGCCCCAGGATCTGAGCAGGGAGCCTCATTCTGTGAAGCTGAACCGAGGAAACCCGATCAGTCACCGCAAGGTTAGAGTTGAGCTTTTATGTCAGACGGGCACAGAATGTCCTCTCTAGGAGAAAATATGCAAATTTCCTGGCATGGGCAGTGATGTGTGATAATCTGTTGGGTGAATCGGAAAGAGACAGCAGGGAGGAGGGGATTTCTCATGTAAACATGACATAAAACCTGCTCTGTGTTTTAAGAAAGGCTAGAGAGATCAGGTCTCTGTTTGCTCAGGAGGAGAAGGAAGGTATCAATGTTTCCTCTCAGTCCTCTGTTCATTTTCTACTCCATAAGCAATTTCTCACAATTTATACTTTTCTTTAATAAGATTTGATTTCTATACATTTTGGGCAATCATAATTTCTTTCTGTTTCTTCAAATGAGTTTAGATTTGGCTTTTTAATTTTATAAATTATGATAAAACAAAGTATGAAGGGCATAATTATGAAATGAGATAAATTAATATAGTTTTATGTACGTTCATGATTCAATTTAAACTATAGGATTATATGTAATTCTCTATCTGCCTCCCTCGTGCCTCTTTCCAATTCTCAGCTGCTCCTGTAACTTACCCAGGTAATGGTCCTTCCTACGTCCTTCTTATTTCCACAGTAGTTGTGATCTCCTAGACAGGAACATAACGTAAATTAAAGTGAACATTTTTTGGCTATAGATTCCTTCTTGTTTCTTAATAATTTTTGAAACTTCACTTTTCCTTGTGGATTCAAGTCACTGTTGTCATTTCTTGTGATTGAAGTTTTCTTTCTTGGATTTCTTGAATTTTTTCTGCACATAATAATCTCCTTTTATTTATATTTATCAAGAGAGTATTTTGACTGTGTATTTTCTGAAATATAATGTTACTATACATAGAATACACTGTATTGAATTCTGCTTTCTGATTTACATTATGGTCTCCAGGAGTTGCCCACAGAGCTTAGTGGTTTTGCTGAAACACCCCAAGCTCACTCAGTTCACCTGTATATGAAAAATTGTTCAAAATATTACATATCTCAGTTTGTTTCCTGCTAGTAGCTTTTACAGACATAAAATGGTTGTTTTCAATACTTTTTTCAGCTTAACATTTTCCTTTTCTGTTGTTATGGTGTTTCATTTATACAAAGATGATTCAGCAGTCACTTCAAAGCTTCATGTCTACATGTGCTTTCCAAATTGAAATTAGGTAAACTGAGCAGCCACAATGAGGGAAGGGTTATAGATGGACATTTGCAATTCATCAATAGAGAATTCTGTGACTTAACCCTCATGTTAAACAAAACCATAGTCTAAACAGATAGTGGAACATCCCGCTTAGATTTCTTAGTCACAGAAGTGTCTACTAGCAATTTTCAGATGATATTGTGTATACCTAGAAATGAGCAAATAGATCGATATACTACAGACAGTGTGAGGAAGGATTGTCATTAATAGAGAATAGAATTATAAATAAGGAAAAGGGGAAAATTATAGTGTTAACTCTTTAATTGCCCACACCAAAAGCACATATTATCTTGTTATTTTTAATTATTTTATTTGTGTTTTAACTAATCTTGAGATTATTTTAATTACTGAAAATTAAAAGAAATAGTGAAGTTTGTTCCAATATACTTTTCCTTCGCCTTCTTTTAATACAAACTCCATACATAAGTTTAGCATAATGATCAGACAATACTCATTGAGAAAATATTTGGCTTTTCTTAGTTTTCTCACTCATTACTGTTTAAGTTCCAGGGTGAAACAATCCTATTGGTTTGACAGACTAGAAAAACAAACGATATTTAAATGCATATATTTCTTTCCTGCTGAAAGCCCTGGGATTTCAATTTCTTAGAAGCTTGGTTTCAAGTCTGTGAATTCCAGTAAAACTGTACCTCAGCTTCTCAACTTCCCTCGTCTAATGAACCTTGTTTTATTGTTTTCATTTTATTTCTAGATCATTCTAAATGGTAGAAAATTTCATTCACTTATCCAAGTATTCGACTTGTAGGAGCTATCTATTGGTGGGTAATCTCATGACCTCCTAAACTCAATCATCTTTTCCTTTAAGGTTTTGACATCACAATGGAAAATGGATACCAAAGTATCATTTGTGGGGGAAAGGAATAGTTAAGAGATTGTGGAAATACTGGGGTTTACAGACAGGGAATATCGCAGAAGAGCTAAGAGACTCTACATAATAATGTTAGGCTGGTTTAGAAAATTGTAGAAAAGGATAATAAAAACACTAGAGGGAATCACACACAGTTGAAAAATGAAATACTGGCAACATGGAAATTTTTTTTCCAGAGAAAAGTGGTGGTTTATCAGATTCAGATGTGACATAGTTTAAGTAACTAAGTCAATTTCATATCATCAATAATTTTTCTCTTTATTCTGAAGCTTCCAGATCTCAGAAGGGCCTGGTCTTGTAAAAGTCTATTTCCGTAGCAATGCAACAAGTAAGAAAATGTTATAAATTTTTAAGCCTAAGCATGTAAATTTTGAGAAAATCTGTGGTTAGGGTTTGCTTGAGAAAGAAATCTTGAGCTGGATGAGGAAAGCACAAGGCATCCAGGGGTGTAACTCTAGGGGAGGAAGTCAGAATTACTTGACTGAATTTGGAGGTCTTGAGTAGATGGCATTCATCAAAGATTCAAGCTTTTCTTATGTTGTATATTTTTCACATAGCACATAGTTTTCATTTTTAAGACAGTAAGTAGTAAAGTGATTCAGCTTGACTTGGACTGGGAATGACCTCCAATGTAACTGATTTACATTATGCAGTCATTGTTCTCAGTTGTCTCCCCTACCAGATGAAAACACCCATCCCATTTCTTGCAGTAAAATTCATTTATATGCAGAAATAATCCCATACCACGGGTACCGTTCAGCTTTCCCACTGCTAGAACAGAATACCTGACACTCACATCTTAAAGGAGGAAAGAAATATTTACTTGCAGCTTCAGAGAATTCAATCCATAGCAGCTGGCTCTAAGCTCTAACATGATATATAGAGTTGGTGGGGTAAAGTTGCATATTTCATAGCAACTGGGAAGTAGAGCAGAGGAGCAGCACAATGGAGGATAGGGGCCAAGGACAAGACATAGAACCCAAGATCATGCCTGCACCACTCATTCAGGCGCACACAAAAGTGAGCTTTATTAATGCACTAGGCGGCTGCCAATGCAATCATTTTGATGAACACAGTTAACCTACAGAGACCATAGTGGCAGGAATATTTGGAAATGTCTTCATCCTGGATGGGCAGGGTCATAGCAAAGCATCATTTTTATAACAAATATAGACTGTCAACCTATGTGTGTCTCTGTGCAAAAACTTGAGGTCGAAGGTACCTGCCTGACCTGTAGCACAGGCTCCTTTGAGGAAGAGTGAGCTGTGTCCAGGTGCATGAGGAAGGTCTACGCATGGTCTCAGGATGGGCAGGTCATGACATATGAATGAACACACATTTTCAAACATGATCTTAGAGGATTAACACCAGAAGGGAAATGAATTGCAATGTTGTGGTTTCTCGAGTACTGAGAGAAAGCTCTTTTCTCTATTTTTCTTTCCCGAATGCCAGGATTGGTTTAAATATAACAAAATACATTGTTTTGCATTGTCTTTTTTATTTTTTAATTTTATATTTTTAATTGAGTTTATGGGTACATTTTAGGTATACAGTACAGTTACATTCATCATTGGGATCTTATAACTTTACATGACAGGTCTTGGTTCTCATTTTTTCCCCTTGTCCCTGCCTTACCTTCACCCTCTCCCCACCCTCCCCATTTACAAACACTTTATTTCCATTTTTTCATTTTCTCATATTTTTTTTCTTTTCCCTTATTCCTTTTCCCCTATCCTTCCCACTTGTCCTACTCCTTTAGACCTTTTCTTCCTATTTCACATTGTCAATTATCTCATTAGGATCTTATGGCATTATCCTTTTTAGTCATTGACAGATTTCATTCATAGTCCCCGAGAAGCTGGAAGCTAGACCATGCCAATCCTAGTCCTTAGCTCTGGAGCTGAATTGAAACTATGCTTTCGAGGAAACATTAGTCTGATGTGCAAGCGTTCAAAGCCTCTACACCTTGTCTGTGGTGAACATGTAGGTTTCAGACTTTCTCCCACCTGGATGAGGAACACCTCACTCCTTTCCTACAACCCAGGGACCCAGTGTTCACTCTTCTTTTGTCAGAACAAGGGTTCTTTGTCAAGTGTATTTTCCTTGTGTGCCATCTCATCAGACTTGCAAATGCACTACCTTTCACTGTGTGTGACAGAAGAACAGGTTTTAACCAGTCTTTCCCTGATCAGATCATTCAAAGTCTGTCCTGAGTGATCCTTGGCTATGGACAGGGCCTGTTGGAAAAATCGGAACATTTTTTCCTTAGTGAAATGGATGAGCTATGAAAAAGGACAATGAATTCATAATCATACTTTCCAGGATGAAGGTATTCCAAGATGTCACAAATTTAATTATGAAGATTGGAGGATGCAGAGAGTGAGAGACAATAGGAAAATAATTGGGAACAATTACAGGCCAAAACAACAACAAAAGACCTGATTTCCTCTTGCTGAATATTTGCTGAAATCATAAACATCATATCATGTTGCCAACCACTAGGGCCCACTGAAACCTATTTACTGTGAATTTTTTAAACTGTTAGCCAAGCCATTCCATAAGCAATAAATATATCCCTTTAGAGACTTCCTTCCTATCCCAAAACTCATCCCTTCTTGTGTAATCTCACCTCTCATCTATACCAGTTCAAGTTCAATGTAAACAATTTATACTTTCCCAATTTTTTATCACAAAAATACACTTGGCTTTCAGGTACAGCAGATATGTTTCTAATTGCTCTCCAGCTTCATCACTGAAAATGGCAAAAATACCTCAGGACCAGGTCGTCTTCTGACCAATCCCTGTAAAGTCTCAATAAAATCTTTTATTTCAGAGAAACCAAGCTTCCTCAACTTTGTCCTACTAGGCAACATACATTTCCAGTTAGCTGGAATCCCTCAGTCTGCTTTGGACACAACATGCTTTCTTCAAACGTGTTAAACACTGGAACTAAAAGTTAGAATACTGCTGGTACACAGTGCTTAGTGTCCTACAGGGTACACAGTATGTCCTCAACACATAAGTAACCACAACTGGTAATGTGAATTATGTTTCTGATTTTGATACTCTTATAATTTCCTTGGGTGAGATTTTTGGCCTTATTTTCTCCTAGTTTTCTGATTCCAAAACAATTTTTTTAGAGAAGAAATTTGTGGGCTAGGATTTAGATGGATTCTATAGCATGCTTGA